TGGGCATCTGTTTCTTGTTAAGGCCTTGCTGCCGGTGCCGCCAATCCTGAAGACGACGACGACGACGGCAGCGGCGACGACGACGATGACGATGACGACGACGACGATTGCGACGACGACGCGCTGATGGCAGTCTAGGGTCAAGGGGCGGGGGGGGGAGGTGGATGATGATGAGGAGGAGGAGGCGTAGGAGGAGGAGGAGGAAGCGGAGGAGGGGAGGGGTCGTTTCCACTCAGGAATTTTCCCGTTGGGGGACAGCTGTGTGAACATCTAGAAGCGTGCCAAAACACCGTTCTAATAATTTCAACGCCACGAGTTAACCTGACCGGTACGTTTTGGCGATTGGACCTCCAACATCGCGAATCAACGTAATTGTTTCGCCCTGTCAATCCTGAAGCGTTCGAAAACACCACTTTTGGAACGTTGACTACGAGAGCTCGCGAAACTTGTGAAGTTTTCGCAACAAATGTGCGCGACGCTAATGCGAGAGCCATATTTTGGACAGGACAGGGTGCGCCGCGCGAAGGCGAGAGCCACATTTTGAAAACGACCCACCCTCAATCCGTGAAGCTCTTGCAAACACTGAAAAAGAATGTGCGTGGCGCTGGTGAGAGCCACATTTTGAAAACGACCCGCCCTCATCCCGCGAGAATCTCGCAACATTTTTGCAACGAATGTGCGCTGTGCGAAGGCGAGAACCACATTGCGAAAATCACCCGCCCTCAATCCGTGAAGATCCTTGCACATGTTTGGAACGAATGTGCGCGGCGCTACGGCGAGAGCCACATTTTGAAAACGACCCGCCCTCAATCCGTGACGCTCTTGAAAAAGTTGAGATCTTGCAGAAATTGAAAAACGGATGTGTTCGGCGCTATGGCGCCGGCCACATTTTTGAGAGCCATCCGCCTTCAATCCGTGAGAACCTTACACGTGTTTAAAACGAATGTGCGCGGCGCGAAGGCGAGTGCCACAATTGGAAAATCACCCGCCCTCAATCTTTGGAACTCTTTCGAATTCCAAAAAACGAATGTGCGCTTTGCTGCGGCGAGTGCCACATTTTGGAGACGTCACGCCCTCCACGTGTGAAGGCGTCGTCACTTTTTAGCATCAGGGTCATAAGAGGTGAGGAAGTATCAGGCGAAACGCCCGGCCCGCCCTTCCGACCAGTTTCGGTGTGTGACAGAGGAAGATGAATGGAGGAGGAGGAGGAGGAGGAGAAGGAAGACCAGTGGCAATCCAACGCTCACCAAAGAGGTTGGGATATACCCTAGCTCCACGCTCTCTCTTCAGAGGCCCCAAACAGGGATTCACTTCCGCCGAGGGGCGTGCCCCGCTGGGAGACAACCGTGTGAACATCCTGAAGCGTTTCCAAAACACGATTCTCAGGACTTCAACGCCGAATCAGCCTGACGGTTGTGCTTGGATGCTCCTGAATCGTGCCAGAGCACAATTTCGTCATGGACGTCAGCACCGCGAATCCCACGTAACTGTATCGGCCTGACAATCCAGAAGCGTTCGAAAACACCACTCCTGGACGGTTAACCATGGGAACACGCAAAATCCCTACAGTTTTGACAACGCGTGTGCGCGGCGCTAAGGCGAGAGCCATATTTTGAAAAGGGCAGGCCTTCAATCCGTGAAACTCTTGCGAATTTTCGAAACGAATGTGCGCGGCGAGAGCCACATTTTGAAAACGACCCGCCATTCATCCGTGAAGCCCTTGCACATTTGAAAAAACGAATGTGCGTGGCGGTATTGCGAGAGCCACATTTTGAAACCGACCTGCCTTCTATCCGTAAAGCTCGTGCAATCTTCGAAACGAAAGTGCGTGGCGCTAGAGTGAGAGCCTCATGTTGAAAACCACTCGCCCTCATTCCGTGCAATTCTTTCATTTATTTTAGAATGAATGTGCGCGGCGCGAAGGTGAGAACAACATTCTGAAACGACCCGCCCTCAATCCGTGACGCTCTTGCAAATATTGAACATCGAATGTGCGCGGCGCTGAGGCGAGTGCCACATTTTGGAAGCGACCCGCCCTCCACTTGTAAAGTTGGTGCCAGTTTCCAAGCCTCAGGCACAGAAGGTGTGAGAAATGCTGATACCACACGTCCAGCCCGCTCTTCCGACCGTCCTCGGGGTGCGATATGGAGGAGACACTCAGAAGGAAAAGGAATGGGGGAGGAGAAGGAGGATGATGCGGAGGAGAAGGGCCTGTGTAAGCTTGATTTTTATCAATGACGTGGGAATAAACCCTCCCTCCCTCCAAGCTCCTTCTTGGTAGGCCTCACAATGCTTCTCTTCCACTGATGGAACTGCCCTGTGAAGGGAAATCTTTTCAAGACCCTTGAGAGTGCCAAAACATCATTGTCCGGACTCCACCGCTACGAATCAACGTGACTGTTGCCTCTTGACGATCCTGCATCGTGCCTGATAATCATTCCTGGAACTTCAACACCGCGAATGAACCAACGTAGCTGTTGCGCCCTGACACTCCTGAATCGTTCGAAAGCGTCATTCTGGTACGTTGACCATGGGAACCCGTGAGACCCTGGCAAATGGCGAGAGCCACATTTCGAAAAGGAACCGCGCTCAATTCGTGAAGATCCTGCGACTTTTTGAGACGGATGTGCGCGTCGCGTCGCTAAGGCGAGAGCTACATTTAGAATACGGCCCGCCTTCAATCCGTGAAGGCCTGTCACATTTTTCAGACGAATGTGCATGTCGCTACGGCGAGAACCACATTTAGAAAACGGCCTGGTCTGAATCCGTGAAACTTCTTACAACCTTTGAATCGAATGTGCGCGGCGCTGAGGCGAGAACCACATTTTGTAAACAACCCGCCCTCCATCTGTGAAGCTGTCGTCAATTTTAAGCATGAGGGTCATAAGTGGTGAGGACGTCTTAGGCGAAACGCCCGGCCCGCCCTTTCGACCGGTTTCGGGGTGCGACAGGGAGGACATATTTATAAGGAAAAGGAACGGAAGAGGAGGGGGAAAAAGAGGCGGATGAGGTGGAGGAGGAGGAGGAGGAGGAGGAGGAGGATGAGGAGGATAATGGAACCGAGGAGGAATGTCGGGAGGCCGTAAAAGCCCCGAGTCTTACCCCAGGAGGGCTGGGATTTTTTTGCTTCTTGGGGTTACCTTTGGAGGGCTTTTTGAAGGCTATTCGGGCGTCTAGGAGGCCTCCTGGGCCGTCAGTGGGCCATCTTGGGTGTCTAGGACCAATCGTTCCGCGATTCGGGACCTTCTTGGGCCGTCCTGGAAGCCTCTCGGGGCACACTTGGCCCGTCCTGGGTTGTTCTTCAGTCCAGAGACCGCCGGGGGGGATGTTATTCTGACCCGGGACCCCACCTCCACCCCCCTCAGGACCCCCCCTGGGGGGGAAGGAATCACGGGGAGGGGCTTCCCTTCGAGTCAACCACGGCGTCGCTCAAGTTCGATTTGGTTTCGCTTTGACTTGAACGCTTGAGGTTTCTGTTCGGATTCGCTGTGGCCGGCGCTGGAGGAGGATGACCCAACGACTGCGATGACGACGACGATGATGATGACGACGACGACGATGGCGGCGGCGGCGACGACGACGACGACGAGTCAAACAGAACGACGACGACGACGCGGATTCGACGACGACGACGAATCAGACAGAAGAGCGTCTTCCACACGCTGACAGGGTCGGCGGACTGCCAGAATCATCACGCCGTTGTAGTTGCTATTGCATGGTTCCCGACTGCGTGTGTTGTGCCCTCTCGGCCAGCTTGATTCAACACCCTAGTTGGAGTTCTGGGATGGGTGGCAGGTCCCCTCGGTACAGCGGCCGGATATGCTTCCAACCTTCAGTAGTGGATACTTGGACCCTGCCTTGGTTTGTTTCTCCCACTGCGCCAACTCACTCTGGACCTCCACGAGGTGTGGTTGGTCTTTAATCGCAGAGACCGACATCGTCTTTGGGCCCAGGGGATTTTGTTCCACTGTGGCCAACTTCTGATTTCCCAGATACCTCATCAAGTAGCTGTGTATGGCACATGGCTCCCGCCTGTTTGTTTTCCCTCAACTTCGCCAGCTCACTCTCAAGCTCCATGAGGTGCGGTAGGTTCTTCCACCACAGAGATCGACACTGTTATTGGGTCCATGGTGTCGTATTCTGCGTGATCAACTAATTTTTCCACAGTGGCATCTCGCAGTTATAGTTGTTAACGTATGGCTCCCAGCCGCGTGTGCTGTGTCCTCTTGGTCATTTCGATTCAACACCTTGGACTGATCCGCAGCAAGGGCGGCGGACAATCTCAGTACATTGGTCGGATCTGCCTTCGGGCTCATTTTCGTCGTATCTGTTTCCAACTCGGGACCGTCCAGGGCGTCTGCGGGATTTTTCTGCGTGTGTTTCTCCCACTTCGCAAGCTCACTATGGAGCTCCATAAGGTGCGGTGGGTCCTCTTATCGCAGAGATCGACATTGTCTCTGGGCCAAGGTGGTTGTGCTCCAGCGTGGCCAACCCCTTATTTCCCAGAGGCTTCAGGCAGCGGTTGTGGACATTGCAAGGCTCCCGACTGTGTGTGTGGTATCCCCTCGGCCAGGTCGGTCCAACATCCTGGTTTGGGCTGCAGCACGAGTGGGAAGCAGACCCTCTCTTCGACCTCACTGCTGGAGCAGCGCGAGCAGGCATTTCGGTCCTACGTGGGCAGCTGGATGGCGGCGCGAAGGCAGGCCAGATCTGCCAGTCCGCCGATCTTCTCCTGGGCCAGCGTTATTGCCACAGCAGCAGCTCTTTTTTCCTCCCCATTTCCCGTCCCTCCCGCTCCCTCTTTCCCGCCGTTGCGGAGGCGTCGTCGCGACTCGGAGCGCGCCAAGTGAACGAGGAAGGATGAGGATGCGGAGGACGACGCCGCCGAAGACGACGACCACGACGACGACGACGACGACGACGACGACGACGACGACGACGACGACGACGGCGGCGGCGGCGACGACGGCGACGACGACTATGACGATGGCAACCACCAGGTTAAGATGCAGCACCACTCCTTCCTGGCCCCCATGGACTACACCAGTCTCCTGGACGACTGGGTGGTCAGCGGGGCATCCATCTTCGAGAAGCGGGGCCCTCGGCCGCGCGCATCCGTCTCCTCTCCCCTGCCGCTGTTCGTCCTCGTCCTCCTCCCTCCTCCTCCCTCTCCCCCTACCCCTTCTCCTCCTCCTCCTCCTCCTCCTCCTCCTCCTCCTCCTCCTCCTCCTCCTCCTCCCCCTCCTCCCCCTCCTTCTCCTCCTCCTCTTCCTCCTCCTCCTCTTCCTCCTCCTCCTCCTCCTTCTCCTCCTTCTCTGCAGCTAGCTCGAATGTCAGTTTCCTCCCTCCCCTGTCTCTGTCCAGAAAGTATCCGCCCCTTTCGCGTACGGTTTTCCACACAGGATTTCAATCATTGGTTTTCCTTATGTTATTGACCATCTGATCGGTATCGGTATTTCAAGGTGGTGTTCCCGCCGCAGCGTGGTGTTCCCGCCGGATCGGCGCTTTGCCCCCGTCATTCATGATAGCGCTCTCTCCCCTCCTCCGCCTTCCCCTGGTCCTCCTGCTCCTCCTGCTCCTTCCACTCCTGCTCCTGCTGATGCTGTTCGTCCTTGTCCTCCTTCTCCATCCTCCTTTTCCTCCTGCTCATCCTCCTGCTCAGCCGCCACCTCTAGCTCCAATGTACGCAGCTCCTCTTTTCCGATTGCGCATAACACGATGAGGTCTTGTTGGGAGTTCCACACCAGGTCCGCTATGACACTCGTCCGTGGATACAGAAATAATCAGCGCAACTGGAAGTGATGGATGGGAGGGGTCGTCAGATGTCAGATATGGCGCTAACTCGCCTAGTTTGACCCCCCCCTCTCCTCTCACCCTTGCTCCCCCTCTCCCCCCCATTCCCCTCCCCCCACTCAAGTCGGATGCTCTGCCGCCGTTTGGCTTCAGCGCCGGCGCGTACCTATATATATATAATATATATATATATACATATATATATATATATATATATATTGTAGGAGGAATATCCGTAAGGGCTTCGCCCACTGCCGCCGGCCCCCTCTCTCGGATAATGGGGTATGCAAGAGCTATGTTGTGAGGCCTGGGCGCGTCGTGAAGCGGCGCCAGAATTCCGAACGGGGGCCACTTGGGTTCGGGTCCCCCGTCTCGGGTCACTCTTAGGGCCGTCTTCGGGCCCTCTCGGGCCGCCTTGGGGGTCTCTTGAGCCGTCTTGGGGTCCTCTTGAACCGTCTTGGGCGCTCTTGAGAGCCTCTTGGGCCGTCTGATGGCGGCCTTGGGGGGCCTCTTGGGCCGTCTTGGAGCGTCGGAAGCCCGAAAAGGCGAGCGTGGCCAAATCCATCAAACACCTATCGAAGATGTTGGCCTCTTGGGCTCCTCTTGGGGGTGCTCTTGGAGCCCTCCTGGGGGCCTCTTGGGAGCCTCTTGGGTAGTCTTGGGACCATCTCGGGCGCCTTGGAGCACTATTGGGCCGTCTCGGAGCCTTCGAATATTGCGCACGTACTTTACGAAGGCTTATGATTTCGGGGACGCGAATATCGCGTAACTGATATGGGATCATGGCTTCGGGGACGTACGTTTTGCATCTTTACAAGAGAGTATTGCCTCGGATATGCGAATATGGTATCAGTTACGGAGAATCATGGTTTCGGGAGCGCGAGTACAGTGTAATTTGCGAGGGTGAACTGCCTCGGGGACGCGAATATTGCAACTAAAGGATTATAGCCGCGGGGTCGCGAAACTTATGTAATTTACGAGGGATTGAGTTTTCGTGTGCGCGAGTCTTATGTACTTCTATGTGTCCCAGGACCCCCCCAAAGTTCTGAGACCCCCCCCTGGTGGTGGTAACCGAGGCCCTTTTCGGCTTCCCCCTTCGCGCGGATTCCAAAATTTGACAGTTGGAAACAGAGAGCAGGATTATAGCATTAGAGACTGGAACTTGGAACTCTTGCACGGAACAGCCCAGCCTAATTCGCGGAGCATCGTGTCCGCACAGGGGGGCCTGTGGGTAAACATTGCAATCAACGTCTTATTGCCGCCATGCTTTCTCTCGTGCAGCTTCCAACCCCCGCAACTGTAGCTGATAGCGGAGCTGGGAGCGATGCCTGCTCGTGAACCACGAAACGCGCGCATGGTGCGGTGTGGACGCACATTCCCACTTACCTTCGCTTCCGTATTGGTGCCACCCTCCATTCCTTGAGCAGCCTGTGCTTATGTCTGTTCTGCAAGCCGATTGGCAGTTCGCCCTGGACACCCACTGGTCCGGCTGTGAGGGCATCAGCAGAAGGCGCAACCGCGATGATGAGCGACTCGCCCAGAGGAGCGCCACGACTTTCGTATCGCAGCCTCACAGGTACTTGTCGAATTGTCGCGTAGGGCATGACAGCGTGGCTCCTTCCTTGGGCTAGCGCAATGCGTCGGTATATGCGCGATCGTGCTGGCTGTCGTTGTGAGCACATCGCACCACCCGACTGGAGCACCGAAGGATTATGCACCAGTTTCGCCGACTTCGGCTTCGACCAAGGTTGACGCCATCATCGTGGCTGTCCCGTGCTCCGACATGGCGCTCGTAGGCCCGAGTCCCAAGGCGGTCCGCAGCCATAATCGTGGTGAGGTCTTGTCGAGGAGGATTTCCATCTTGACGTTCTGGGGCAGCATTTTTTCCCCCGTGGCTGTGCTATTCTGGTTCACCGGCATGATGCCTGGTGGGGCCGGCCCACAGGGTGGCGGCGGCCGCGATGTGTTCTCTTCCCGCCAGCCGCCCTCATGGTCACCCGAGCGCGAGTCTGTGTATACCTTCCGCCGCTGGGAACAGGACTTGCTCGCTTGAAGCGTGCTAGCCACCGGCATACGTTCATCAAGAAGAATATGAGCACCTTCGCTAGAATAGGCAAAAGCCAAGGTGTTCAGAAGTAATCATTTCTCTCAGAGCTCTTCGATGCTCGAGTAGATCGGGTCTTCTACGGCGGGAAAGGACGAGGCGTGGGGAAGCGCTCGTCAGGCAGAGGGGAAGGCAGACGCAGCAATCCTCGCGGCTACGACGGCACCTCCATGACGTGTAGCATCTATGCGAAGGGGGTGCCACTTCCTTGCTGAGTGTCCGCAAGGCGCCGCATCGTCACCACAGGGCAGCGGCAGCGGTGGCCCTGTAGACGTCGCTCTGGACCACGGCCGCCTCGCTGGGATCTGGAGTTGCCTCCGCGGTCGCTGAGGGCCCCCCTTAGCCGCGGCCGGTTCCAAACGCCGCGCCTGTGCCGACATCCGTCGACGGCTCCTGGGAGCTGCCTGGATCTGTCCACGGCTCGCGGTCAGCCGCCTCGCTCACCGCGGTCCGGAGCGACGCCTGCACTGACGCGCCAGCTGTCCTACCGCCACCTCAGATGTTTAATGTTGCGACGCCGACTGTAGCACCATTGCAACTGCCAGTTCTGTCGCGGAGCCGGCAGCAGCCGCCGACGGAGCTCGTCCATCCGCCAACGCGCCGCGGAGGACTGCCGCCCTTGGGGCCCCCGCGAGATGAGCCTCGGCGACAAGCAGTGCAGCGCGGGCGCCACTATCCAGCCGATGGGCCAGCTCGCGGTCCTCGACGATTAGCGGATTATCATACCTCGGCCCAAACGCACGCCAGCGGGAGGGCCAGCTAGCGCAGGCTGCCCTGCCAGACGGGCAGCGCCGCGGATATGAGCACCGAGCAGAGGTGCTGGCCGTGGCTATCAGGACCGACGTCGTGCGTGACCTGGCCCCCGATATGTCCGCCGGGCCTGTCCTCCATGGCCAGATTGGAGGCCGACCGCGACGCTCAGATGGCACAGCGACGCCCCCGCCGACGAGCGCGCCCAGCCGATGATCGACGTGGTCATGACTGGGCCTCCAGCCGTGCTGCCGCCGCCGCGCCCGGCGGATTTACGCGTCGAGTCAGAACTCGCATGGGTGGAAGTAGACGCCGATGAGATGTGCGGCGTCTCTTTGGGGCGCTGCGTCAACTTGGACCTCGCCGCCACCCTTCAGCGTTGCCGCTGTTTTCATCGGTGCTGTGCTGGCGCCCAGGCCGCCACTAGCTACGACGACTCCCAGGCGCGAGCAGTAGAAGAAGCGCGTCGCGGCGACCAGGCCCGAGCACCACTCTCGCAATGCCCAGCGTGCAGGCGACGCTTGGTGGTGCGCGAGGACACGCGCATCCATGTAGCATCCGCGCCCCGTGAGGCTTCCGAGGAGTGCCCGTTGTCTGGCGCTGACGGGGCCCTGGGCGCACCGCGAGACGCGCCAAGCGGCGAGATCTTGTTCGGTATTCCTGCGTGCGCCTGGGGAAAGCAGTCGCCCCCGGGCCCGCTGCAGGGCGGTGGGGCCGACGTGCTTTCCTGGTGGCCAGCCGCCGGCTTGGCCGGCGAGTGCGCCGCGCAGGTGTATCGCAGTCGCTCTGGGCTCACCGCCTCAGGTGAGCTCAGCGTCGTCGTGGACCCTGGTGCGTGGGCCGAGTTCATTGGGGTGAAACTCGCGCGCCAGCTGCGCCGCCGCGTCGTAGAGGCAGGTTGCCGGCCGTAGCAGCTTCTCCTGAGCAGGCCCTTGATCATCCAGGGAGTTGGTAACGGGGCCTAAGAGTGCACCCATCAGGTCAGCGCCCCCGTAGCCGTCTCGTATGAACAGGGCAGAGCTGCCATCCGCGGCTTCGCAGTGCCTTGCCTGCTTGGTCTGCGCAGCGTGGAGTCCATGTGCGCGATCCTGGGCATGGGGCAACGCGGGCAGGTCTTGCTCGGTGGCGGCGACGTCCTAATCCAATGGCTTGCAAGAGCCGTCCGCGCTCCACTGCAGGGCTCCTGGCGGACAACTTTCGATGGTCATCGACGACTTCGAGGAGGGCCGTGCAAGCCGCAGGCGGCGTGCCCGACTGCCGTCATCAGCTGCGCGCTCACGCGGACGAGGCGGAGACGGAGGCGGAGAACGCGACGACCGCAGCTGCCCATTTCAGCCGGGGGGCTGAGTAGCAGTCGACCCTCGGCCCCCAACGAGCCGAGGGCTCCCTGGGGGGCGCCCTGGCTCTCTTCGCCAGGGAACCCGCGTTCTGTCCCAGACGCGGTC